AACTAGACCAGGCTACTCAAGGCTCCGTCCAACCTGGCCTTGAACACCTCCAGGGAGGGGGCATCCACAGCTTCTCTGGGCAATTTATTCCGAAGTCTTACCACCCTTGTACTGAAGATTTACTAAAAAAAAAAAAATATTTACTCAAAAAAAAAAAGAAAGACAATTCTTTTATACATGGCTGTATATTGTGAGATCATGGCCTTCAGATGTTTCTGTGACCCTTCCACAGTTTTGAATTAAATCATTTAGTCATGACACCTTTTTTCTTTCCCCCACCCCCATGCCAAGGAGGGGAATTCTGTGTAATTCTGCTCTATATCCATATGCACCATCATCTCTTGTTCTGGTCTTTGCTAGGCACAGCTTTCTGTTGTGCGCAATCAGTATAATGCAATGTACCTTCTCATGGGAAATATTCTTGTTTTCTCACTTTTAGGTGAAGGGAAAGCTTGAACTTAGGACAAGATAACTCACTGCTCATGCAGTCTGCAACAGTAGATTAGTTTTCAAAGTGACTGAAAAAATACTTTTTCTTTAAATCTGCACCCCAGCTTTTTTAGTTGTCAATGTTTTTAAGTCACAAGAGTGTACTAATCATTTAAATTAGTTCTGAATGCCATTGCATCCATGGGCCCGAGCTGAGTTTTAAGAATAAACCAAATGCTGTGATCAGCAACATTTTTACGCTGTTGCTTCGAGCTAACGCATTTCTGAGGGAGGAATTTGGCCCGAGGACGCGTCGCTGGCAGTGAGGAATGAACAGATCTTGACTGAGGTTCTGAGCAAGTTTGCTTGTAAACTCAGGAAGTGTTCTGTGGGAGTGGCAGACAGTGTTGATGCACCAAAAAGCCTTTCTGAGCACAGGAAAACAGGCTTCACAACTGCCAGTTACGTTTTTCACAAAGCAAGCCTGCTGTTATTGTGCTTACCTCGTGTTGTTTTTTTTTTTTTTTTTCTCCTGCTTGCTTAATGTGGGGACAGTAGTGTGCGTCTGATGTGGTGTTTTGCTGATTTGGCAGTTTGCACTTCAAGACAAGTATCTGTTAAGGCTGTAAGAACACTTGGTCCCAGAATGAGTGATGACAGGCATGACCAGTGTGCTGAGAAGACTGTCACCTGTGGGTCATGTGTCTTGTTTGTTATTTTAATTTTGTTTTTTTGCCATGCCTCTTCATTCAGCTGCTCTGGATGGACAGCTCATTGTCTTCAATGTTATGTATGCTAGACATTGAACAAAGTGAGACATGGAAACATAAATGTGTGAAGATCTTTGAGATTAAGATTAAGAGATTTGATATGTACTTCAGTATTTCTAAACTCAAAAAATCGACCTGTTGAATCTAGATGTGTATGTTGAAAAAGTCACAGTATTTTGCCTGGAATTTTGTCTAGGAGCTGTTGTGTGCTACTTGGTTGAGTATATTGTTCTGAGCCAAGTAAAAGTCTTTTGTTTGGTATGATCCGAGCCCATAGTTCAATGTTTTTCATTAATGTTGATCTAGTAGTGCTGGTATAAGTACCATTTCTTCTTGTTAATGTGGCTGTAAGATTTTGCATGTTTTGGGAGAAACTCATGAAGGCGAAGGCCTTTATGAGCAAACACCGGTATGCTAAATCAGTGAAAGAAATGGTTCGTGGTACTTGACAATAGGGTAAATGCTACAAAAGTAGGTGCAGGAAAGGACTATAATTAGTACCTCTGTGAACTGTGTTGACCTCTCAAAAGAGGTTGGGACAGGTCTTCTACTTATTTTTATGGGACAGGTTTTGGTGATGAAGTGGTAGCAGATAAGAACACTGTGTTTATAGGAGCAGGGTTGTGCTGCTTGTATTGAAAGTCTCTATTTGATTTATTTGCAATGGAAATGTCTCCCTTCTAGGGGAGAGGGAGGGTGGGACTAAGTAGTTGATTTGCTTTCTGATTAAACAATATACTGTATAATACTAAGTTGAATAGTGATAGTTATATTTGGACTGACAGAAATTCTTGAGCTCTATCCAAACACAAATGCCACTGTGTTTAGGTTTGTTTTCATAAGCTGTAGGGAATGTTCTGAATAACATGTTTGTATGCAAGATAGCTTTGCATCTTTCTGGCCCTCTGCAATGACTGTCTTAGGTAGTATGTGGTTTTGACTGCCATAAGATTGGAATATGCTATCAGGGCAGTGGAGTTGCTTGATGCTTGTAAAGTGCCAAGTGTTACCAAGGGCCACAATCAGCATAGCTGGTATTCATAAATCAGAAACTTCTCTGACTTTTACCAAACCCAAAGATTTACAGAAGGAAGGTGGGGTCACTCTATTCTTTGCTTTTATTTTGTTCCTTTATTTTGTTTCTGTCTTTGTTTTTCAGGAATCTGTTTCTTCAGATATGTAACTCTTGTGGTTTAAGATTAAAAAATGCACATATTTAACTGAAACGTTTACTCTTTGCTTTTTTGCCACATCTGTGAAGAGATTTGCTGGAAAAGCAGAACTTCCAGTCATGTGACTGTCAGAGGGAGAACACATCTGAGGAATTAGGAGAGCTTAATAGAAGTGGTTTCAAGGACTAGGATTGTTAATATAAGCTATGTAATATGTGCTAAAATGTGTACTCCAAAGAAATGCTTTTCGTGGTAAAGAACTGGAAGTGCTTTTTAATGTTTGCTATTTGTACAGTTGGACAGCTTTCTCTTTATTATGTAGAAAATGCCTAATAAAACAGTGGCTTCTCTTGCTGTTCCTAGCATACGTGCTGTGCTGGTTTTGGCAGGGATAGAGTTAAATTTCTTCATGGTAGCCTGTATAGTGCTGGTTTGGGTTTAGTGTGAGAAGAATACTGATACTACACTGATGTGTTTAGTTGTTGGTAAGCAGTCAAGGACTTTCAGCTTCCCATCTTCTGCCAGGTGCACAAGAAGATGGGAGGGAACATGGCCAGGACAGCTGGCCCAAACTGGCCAAGGGGATATTTCATGCCATATGACATCATGCTTAGCATGTAAAGCTGTGAGAAGAGAAAAGAAGGGAAGGACGTTTGGAGTGGTGGCATTTGTGTTCTCAAGTAACCGTTACATATGATGGAGCCCTGAATGAATTCTTTGTTTTGCTTTGCTTGTGTGTGCAACTTTTTCTTTGCCTATTAAACTATCTTTATCTCAACCTGTGAGTTTTCTCACTTTTACTCTTCTGATTCTCTCCCCCATCCCACCAGGGGGAGGAGCGAGCGGCTGTGTGGGGCTTAGTTGCTGGCCAGAGTTAAACCACGACACGTGCTAATAAATATCCAACATGTAGAACTATTTCCCAAAATGTTCATTAGAGCATTGTCATACAAATTTTGATCTAAGTGTAGTTTGTCAGTTTTGCAGCATATCTGTGAGCAACAACAAATGGAGTTACTGCTTAAGTGCAGTCTTCATAAATGCAAGAAGCTTACTTTCATATTCTGGTATATGGATAGGTGGCATAGCCAGTAGAAAAATGAGAGTAAAAAGCATTTCTGGGAAAGAAAGGTTCAAGAACATGCTCCCTTCCCTTAATTTATCATTCTATCTCTGTTCTGTTTTTTTTTCCCTTGGATAAATGGATAGGTGGATAATCATACTGAGATCCCCTAACGGATCTTTTCTCTGAATGTCAGGAAGGTCAGTTAACTGTTACTATCCAATATTAAATTCTTGAGATAGTGTTACATGTATACATATGATATCTATATATGTGAAATGTTTTTAGTGATTTCATCTTCGCTGTTGTATCTTTATAAAGACATTCTGTGACTGCTGCATTTCCTCATCATGCCTTAAATATAGTAAATATAGTAGTTAAAACATAAATAAAGTAGTTAAAACATTCAAATGCAGCCGGATTCCTGAAAGATCTCAGTGTAAAGTTTAGAGGCTACATTTCTTTGGAGTCATGATAAAAACCTCTGGTAAGATAAAATCCCTAAAGGAATATAAATCTAGTCAAATACTAAAACACCTGTAAAGATAAAAAAACAAGTAACAGTAACAACAGTATTAGTGTTTGTATTTTATGTGTTTAATATCTCTTTATATTTCTCTATATGTCTATCTACATATGAAAGAAACAAATATATTGTAATAATATAATCTCTTATATAATAGGTGTAGTAATATGATCTTACATAATTAAGTATTTTATATGTGTGTGTATATATACACAGAGTGCTTGCTTGTACATAAATACAAAACACATTTTCAGTTCCACTTAATTTTATTTTTTAGATAAAGTAAAAGCAGAGAAATTTTGAAATCAGTAATGAAAATGAGACAAATACTCCATTTGACAGGAGTTAAGAAGTCTGAGAAGGCGTTGAGGGACTATCAGAAAAGAGAGTGAGGGTGGAAGAAATTCTTTCATAGTGTTAAGAGCAAGAGGCCTTTAATTCTGAAAAACAATAGTTCTGAAGTTGATACAAGGGAAAAATGCTTAATGGTACATAAACATAACATCTAGAATTTCCTTCTTGGAAGATCCTGAAGTTTAAAAGCTTAGTGGGATTTAAAGTCTTAAGAATTCATATGAATGCCTTTCTTTCATAAGCCAACTACTTACTTGAGAATAACAAATAGCCTCTGTGGTCTCTCTGCACTGGATTTAGTTGCACGTTCTTTGAAATAGCTTGTGCTATTCACTGTCAAATATCTGGACTAGAGGTCATTGAAGGGGCAATTTCATTACTCTGAAATCAACATTGCTGGATTTTGGCTTCATACAAAAGTGTTTTTGTGCTCAGAATACCTAATTTTCTGAGAAATCGTAGACATTTAAAACATTATTTGGAAGTAGTTCATAGGTGGTTGTGGATTATGTGCTTTGACTAAAGGCAAAAGGAAATTGAGAACATTCAGCAGATTTCTACTTGTGCTCTTGGTTGTGCTTACTGATCAGCTACTCTAACTGTATATCTTTGTCATATTATGTGTAGAAATAAGCATTCTGGTGCTGTTCAAAGATTTTAATGTGTAAGATGTTGTGTTCATACAGAAAACTGTTTTGTACCAACCTCTGAGATCATTGCTGTAGAAGAAACTGAACTTAACAAGAAACAGCGTAATATTGGCAAATGGCAAAAAATGGCAAAGCCACATGCTTTCACAGGTAAGGCAAATTCGGTCTCAGAATGCTTGTGCTAATTGCTTTGTTAGAAGTACTTTAGGGCAGACTCAAAAGGAATCTTAGGAATTTTTTTTAAAATAAAATGATACTTTAAAAAAAAACCCCAAACAAACAACAAACCAATCAAAAACCCCACAAAAACAAACGAACAAGCAAAAAACACACTAAAAATCTGCCAGTTTACATTTGAAGATCCTTGTTTTGAAAAATAAAACCCTTCCTTTAAGAACACATGCTGTGCTTGGTTGTTTAATGAAGTCCTAAATAATGTCTTACATTTCTGCTGCTGAATGACTCTGCAGCAGAACACTTGATTTCTTCTACTCGACTTGAGAATTGCGAGAGGCCAGAAAAATGAATCCTAAATGTTCGGGTTTTTTTTAAATTATCCCTAAACATCAGAATGTGGACGTGTAAAGGTTCTTTGTGTTATTGACTGCATTCTTAAAACAAAGTGCCAGAAAAAAACTTCTGTCTGTTTTGGGGAAAAAGTAGTGACTTCTGTGCTGCAAAGCTGGGGCAAATGTGATTGCTCCCAAGCGAAAACTTTATGTTGTGGAGTATTTTCCTCACATTTAGTCCTTCAGTAACAATGATAGGCAATGCTGTAGATGGAAGGGTAAGGGTGCTACTTGTTTCACCAGCTCCGTTCGTAGTGTACAGGAAAATTCTAAATCTTTTTTCTCAAATTTCAGCTTTATGAAGTTAAATTCATCCTGTTGGTTACATGGGAGCTGATGTGAGAGTTTGATTTATCCTCCTAAGCTTACGGCATTTTATGTTATGTAGACATGGATAAAATAATACATAAGCTCAGTGAACTTTTGTATGTCTATAAACAGTTTATGGAAAATAGTTTTTATTTGGGTATCTGCTATAAAGTAATGACCTAGAACAAATATTTTCATTTATGTTTTTTTTTTGACTTTCTGCAAATGTTCTGTTCACACTCTGAATGCTTCTGTTGTTTGTAGAAATGTGTAGTGGGGGTTAATTATCACTTTTTTCAAACAGCAGATATTTTTGAGATCTCTTTGAAATGCAGTTGTCATTTCACAGACCTGTTTCATTATACCTCTTCTTTTTCCTTCTTTTTTTTTTTGTTGTTGTTGTTGTTTAAATAGTGTATTATGTGAAAAAAGCCCGAAATCACCGCTGGCGGTGCAGTGATGTGACGTTTTGGTGTGTTGATGAGCATTTGTGTAATCAGTGGATACAGGCACTGAAAGAATTACTTGAAATGCAGAGTAAGTTTGACTAAACGACTGACATTTGCAGCATCATTTTGCAGGCACGTATGTCAATTAAGATTATTTTGATATATCTACTTTTTTGATCTCTTCAAACCAGCTTATGCTCAAAAGTTGAGGGAGCTGAGAGTTGAAGTGTCTTGTTCTTCTTATAACTACTTTTGCTTCTTGTATCTTCACTAAGTTGTACTGAGTGTTTTACTCTAATCAGTGAGGACTGTAAGTTTTTCATAATTTTGCCCAGATGTAAGTTATATTCACAAAATAAGAACATATTAGAAGCTTAGCAGAAGCTTTAAATGACTGTAGCTTTGGAGAAAGTAAAGGGCAGATGCAAGCTCAGAGATTTGAGGTACTCTAGAGATCTGTAGCAATTGTTAGATTTATGGGTGGCTTTTTGTGAGTCTGTCTCACCTTTCCACTCTCTCTCACCAGCAGCATGCCTTGGGTAGTAAGAGTTCATGTTAATCATTTCTAGAACTTTCGAACATCTGCTTCTTGAAAGGCTAAAAGTAGTTTGCAAGAGTTATTCCTGAAAGAGATATCCTGATAGATGTCAGGGGGCAGCAGGAGCAGAGCAACTCTGTGACAGATGGGAAGTCAAGGATGACCTCAGCACAGGCAGTGCCCTTCACCGACCGGGGTGCAGTCCCACTCTATCTGGGCAGAACAGGGATGGAGATAGCAGCAGGACCCATTTACAGCCCAGATGAGATAATCAGGTCCATCCAGGGGAATGCCAGACAGGAGCAGCAGGAGATAGGGCTGAAGGCAGGACTGGAGATAAGCTATCTACAGCGTAAGTCTGAGCTCGATCTGACAGAGCCAGAGAAGAGATTGGACACAAGTACACTTATGATGTGACTCAAGGAAGTACTTAAGGCTCACAGAATTGAAATGGATAATTAACAAATAATGTTCTTCTGAACAGGCATTGGAAGCATGCGTCGTGTTTCTCTTTTGTCTATGTTACACATTGAGGTATCTGGCTTCCAATAAAATCTTTTAAAAAATGAGTTTTGTGCATCCATTCACTACAGCTGTGAGAGATGTGGCCTGGGCAGTCATCTCTGAGTGCAGGTGTTCATTCTATGGGTAGCAAACAATTTCAGAAAAGGTAACAGATTCTCACAAAGGATGAGTGGTGCTTTGGGTATGTGGCAGCTTTAAACCATTCAAACAGTCTAGCTTGGGTGGATTTATTGTGCAAGTGCACCAGTCTAATAACTCTGTTTATTCTTTTCTTTTAAAATAATAATTTAGAATGCCATCTGAGGAAGCACGAATGTTACAACAGGTCTTTGTGCTCTATACAAAAAAAGGAAGGCTCTCTAGGTGCAGCAGGCATTACTGTTTTGTGTGTCTGTTAGTACAGGGATTGAATAATTGTTTGACACCACCAATGTAAATCCATAACTATTTGAAGAAACTTGAGATGGTGTTATCAAAGGTGTTTTCTAGGGGGAAGGGGTTACTCTACAGAGCAAACTCTTGCTGTGCAGTGTGTGGTTTTGTGAGGTATTGTTATTGTGTCTTTATCACTGAAAGGAAATGCATTTTAACTATGTTACCAAAGCAAGAACATTGTTTAAATAAATTAATGTGAAAGTATTTCTATGTATACTTCACTGACAAGTGCCTTTCCTAGTGCTGCCCTTGGTTTTTCTTTTGTCTCATGTGCCTGTGATACTAACGTCGTTTAGTGGGAAGGTACTGTGAGAATAATATGCATAAGAATGTGAGACATGGAGTCGGATGAAATGATTATGAATTTCACGTGCTGTCTTATTACCAATTTGTTCAATACTGTCAGGATCCTCAGTATAATAAAGAGGATAGTTGAAGCAGGTTTTTATAGCTCTTTATCAAAGAGTTAGAGTTACAAGAGTTAATACAGAGTTGTAAAAGTCTTGTAAGCTGTGTTCACTTTGATGTTTACAAGTTTGGTTTTTGTATAGCTTGTTGAAGTTTTTGTTTTGTGTACATAAGCAGTGTACTATATTTTCCTTCTGCAGAGTCTAGACCAAAGCAGTTACTTGTTTATATTAATCCGTACGGAGGAAAACGACAAGGGAAGAGGATTTATGAACAGAAAGTTGCTCCACTGTTCAATCTGGCTTCTATCTCCACTGATGTTGTTAGTGAGTAATGAATATTTTCTTAATAAACACAATATGAACTCTTTGAAACATCTCTGAGTAGCTTATGTTCTTTCTGTTACTTACCTTTTCTTGCTAAGGAAATGAAACTACATGGTAGAGAGAGAATGTTTTCTAATTAAAATCTGGGTAGCCGGATAAATGGTGAACTTGTATCAATTTTCTGCTTACTAAATTAAAACTTCTTGTACTTCTGAGCTATTTGATCTCTTCATTTAAAAGATACTGTCTTTCTCCTCTATTTCAGTTTTACTGTTAAAACCAATTGTTCATTAGCACAAATTTTTAGTGAAATATTTTTCCGTGTATACTGCAGTGTATGTCTTTTTCAATTCTTTCCTCACCATAAAATCTTTTGAAACGCATTTCATGGGCAGATTGTTTTATGGTCACATTGGTAATAGAATCATGGTTATTAATGAATTAATAATAACACTTTTATAATTGTCTCTTATATACCATTTTATAATAGTATTTTTATAATAGTAATTTTTAATGTGTGTGTTTATTCATAGTAACTGAACATGCTAACCATGCGAAGGACAATTTATTTGAAGTTAATATTAATAAATACGATGGGTAAGTAGTTTCACTTGCTTTTTTTTTTTTTTCTCTTTTCTAGCTGATATATTCTGTAATCTGTCCTTGTCTCCAATTTAAAATAGTAGCTTTCATTGCTAATATGTTTATTGCAACAGCTGAGAGTTCTGGGGCAAGTTCCTTTCCTTGGAGATCCACATTTAGGAGTGTCAAAGGAAAAACTGAACTGTTTTGGTAAACCCATTCAACACACAATATGTTCAAGTGTAGTATAACAATGTTTGCATGAAATTTGTGTTCAAAAGGTAAATGTAAGATTACTTCTGCTCATCCAGAAGTTGAGCATTCTGCGATAGCTTGAAAGCTACTCTGAAATGTTTTGTGGTACAGGTGATCTTGACATATACGTTGAGTCCAGAACACTGCATCAGTAGCATTCAGCCTGTGTGTAAAAACCATGAACTGTTTAGAAACATTTCAGATAGTTCCTCTTGCTATGTAGGACTGTTCAAATAATGGCTGCATCATTTGACTTTATTTGTGTTTGTTCTGTTGTGAAATTACTGTTTTAAAAGAAGACTTAACGGAATGATGAAATTGCATTCCATTATTAAATCTGATGTAGAAGCAGAATATTTTAATAAATAAGCTAGTAATTCCAGTTTCCAGTTCATGACATGAAACAAGTTACATGAGTGGAAATATGCAGATCTATATGCATTGTATAGGTCGAGTGAGGGCATGATGTTGACAAATTATGGTAGTAAGAAACTACATTCACGGGTCGAGTTTCTAGACTTCACCTGCTTTAAAATGTGTTGACTTTAAATAAGCAGTTTCAACTATACTGAGATTCTTCTTAGTTTTGCAGAAGTGCAAGGAAGGGAAACTGGGATCCTGGAAAAACTTAGTTAAGTTTTTTTCCTTTTCATTTGACTGAAGTGAAATAGATAATACCGATGGTTGAAATTCCAGTACAGAGCAGAAAAGGGAAGTAAGTGAGCCCATGTCCACTCCTAGCAAATTGCTTTTTACAAGTGGAAGTGATCAATTGTAGTGGTGCCTGAACTGGTTTTGGCAGATTCAAACAATCTCTTATTGTAGACATTTATTTTTTTTTATTGCTTTGGTGAGGTTTTTTGGTTTTTCTCTCTGTAACATGACTGAGCTAAACAATTGGCCAGAGAACTGCATCATTTGAGAATCTCATGATTCTTCTATTCCCAGGCTGGGCCTTAATGGCAGTTAGCTTGGGAACTGCAGCCTGTCTTTCTAAGCCTGATTTTTGTCCATCACATACAAGTCTCTTTCTGTGGTGTGTTAGGAAGGAGTTCTTGTATTAATACTACTTTTTTAAATAGCAGGTTGTGTGCTTATATGGAAGACTTGAACCACATAAATGCGTATATTTCTTCAAGTTTGACTCTTCTCACATACAGGAAAAGCTGCTTTGGATTCCTGCACCTAATTGTTGTTCACATGTCCTCTTAGATTGTTTCTGATAAGTGGCTTTCCCTTCGTTCAGTGAGGAGATTCTTTATTTAATCTCTAGATTCCCTATTTGGCAAAACCATGCCTCTAATTTTGGAACTAGACACAGGATTCTTAGTAACTGCTTCACTGCTTTCCAGGTGTATTTACTTGAGACAGCTTATTTAAACCTCTTGTGCATGTTTCCTGTTTGTTCTTCCCATTTCTCCGTATAAGAATTCCTTAACGATGAATGTACTAATCTAACAGTTCAGTAATAGAACAGCTTCTCTTTAAAGACAGTTGCTTACAATATTTGTTCAGTTACAATACAGCAGGTTTTTGCACATCATTGTGCAGAACTAGAGCATGCTGTAGTATTGTGCCAGTAATGACCATGTTTAGAATGTCTGACATGAATGAATCACCATGCTTCCTTATCCATATGCCTGTTGCACAAGCCTTTGTTAAAACTGTTTCCAGTTGTTTTTTTCCTAGTTCTTGAATTAGTTCACAGAATGGTTGAGATTAGAAGGGACCATATTTTTTTTTTTTTAAACTCATTTATCTTGTGGACTTTCTTCTCCTGAAGTCCTTTAGCATATGTAGTTTACTGTTATCATCTGTCTAAAAAGTGAAATACTAGTCCATTAGAAAAATAAACCCAAAATGTAAGAATCACTGTGAGAAGATGTCTCTTACAGTAGTTCTTCACTAGAGGCCTTCACGTGTGTGACTCCTACGTTAGTCACCTGATGTTTGCAGTGAATTTTATCATGCTAGTATTGTGCATGTGAACTTCTTTATCTGTCACTATTTGCCCTTGATAGGTATAGACATTCCTAAAATAGTCATTTCTTAGCCTCCATGTAGTATTTGTTACAAACAAAGAACACTACTGAGACAACATTGACCTGAACTGACATGGAAACTTTTGTCCACTTAACCTCTTTAAGTCTTAGAGTCTGCAGAGAAAGAAGAGACAGGCTAAAGTTAAGGAATAATGTAGTTAAGCTATGAGAAGAGAAATTAATTCTAAAAATGAAAACCAAACATCTTTCTCTTCCAGTCTTTTAGGTCTTGACTTAGAATTGGACAGCGTATTTTTTTAACACTGCCCTCTAGATTCATGAAAAAATGACTGTTTTTTTTCAAGCTTTCCTTCTGCTGAAAATAACAAGTAAATTTAAATCATCAATACTTATAAATTAAACAAACTAACTTGTGCTATGAAATTAATGCTCATTCTGCAATATCTGTTACTGACTATGTGGAAGAGTAAGTGTTAGTTTATCCGTTGGAAATGATTGCTATAGATAACAGTAAACATTCCTAAGCGTGTATGCTGGGGACTACATGCATAACTTTGGATTTGTCATGGGTTCCTTTAAAGTGTATTTGAATTAGTTTTTCAGTTAAATAACGTTTATACTTTTAGAGTTCAGGGAGTGTAATTTATTATTGTGTATGAAATGTATACTACTGTAAAAGTCTTTTACTTCCTAGTATTTGCTTGACTGTGGACTCTCTGCTAAGCTTTAACATACTGAGGATTTGTGTAGCTGCTGCTGCACCAGCTCTGACCTGAATTAAGTGTGCAAAACAAAGTTTTGCTTCTGGCAACATTTAGAGGTCTGTGTTTCATTATGAATGGTTACGCAGATATACCTGACTTCTCTTTGATGGGCTCTTGGCATGTCCAGAAGAGCATGCTTGCATGCACCTTGCTGTTGTTTTTGTCCTTTCATATAATGTATATCCCTATTAAACTAATAGTGTAAAATATACTTCTGCCTGAAACCACAAATATTAACTTACTTTTCCCCTTTTAGTAAAGGTACCCTATTTCCATTTTGTTTACTTAGAAAACTGTATGTACAGTCCTGTTGAGTGTTTTTCTTGTATAGTGAATTTCCACTGATACTTGTCTGACTGCATACAGTGATGGAGGATAAAGGTTGTTTGGTTTTTTTTTTAGGTTGCATTCCAAAATTTTTTTCTAACATTACACACATGTATAGGTGCATTTGCAGTTCTGTAGCTTGAAATTTTTTTTCTGCCTTTTGTTAATTGCCAAGTTCACTGTGGGCTACTATATTCTGTAAAAATGGAAGAGGAGAATAGAACAACTATTTTTGATGTGCCCAGTGCATGCCCTAAGTAGAACACTTGCCGTGTTGTTTATTGACTGTTAGTGTGCATTCTAATTTGTGTTTCCTGGCAGTGTTGTTTGTGTTGGTGGGGACGGCATGTTCAGTGAAGTGATGCATGGTCTCATTGGAAGAATGCAGAAGGACTCTGGCATAGACCAAAATAATCCCAAAGCACCGTTAGTCCAGTGCAATATAAGGATTGGCATATTTGGAAGGGTTAACTTTCAGTTTACTTTATTCATTTATTTTTGAAATTTCTTCTTATTCATAACTTCTTGAATTTAGGCCTAAGTGTAAGATATGAGCAATGATATTCCATAAAGACACTTAGCTAAAGCGGTTTGTATCCTGGTATAATCATTGATCACATGCAGTCTTATTTGGAAAGGATATTTTGTAAAGGAGATCAAATCTTAATGTGCAACTTCAAAATTTAATCACTTTTTTTTGTGGCTTATTGTGTGTTAATACAAGATAAGATGTTGACAGTAGTACCTTTGCCCATCTGAACACATTAATGAGTGAAATTTACTGAACAGACTTACCTGATAAATATTTTTCCAGTTTCAAATGCTCCACAAATTTAGTTAGAATTGTAATAAGATCCTTCCACTGGTCTGGCAAACTCCAAACAAATGCGCTTTTTTTTTTTTTTTTTTTTAATTTTGGTTGTCATCACAAAAGGCATAAGGCAACTACAGCTGAGGAACAGTCCTCAGGTTCCAGACCAAGTTGCCTTTTCTGCTCCTATTTAGAGGTGCTATACCTTCACAGTTCTTAATGTCAGCCACTTTTTCAGGCAATCCCTGACTACTGTCATTGAGAGGCATTTGAGAGAACTCATTCTTGGAATTCAGGTGTTTGGTGATAAACTGATTTTTATTGACCATAGGCACTCTTTGGATCAATCTTGCTGTTAAATCTAGTATCCCAGGTGTTACCTCACCCTGCCCACTTGGTCCTCAAGATTCCTTCAAAAGTGGTCTTACAAGATGACTCTCTCTTCCACGACTGGATTCAGTGTTGCAACTCTTTAATAGCATCTGCAATTTTGAGGACTCTGGAAAGACAAATGCAGAGTTCGGTGTCTTTTCTGGGCTGTTCTCTTTTTCTTGTCAGATGCTTGAGATTTGAACTAAAGAGCTAGGATATGAAATCAACATTATGAGCTTCTGACTAGAACTAAAACACAAACTTTATGAGAAAATTTAGCACAGGTTATAAAAATACACCAAGGTGTATTAGTATGTTTGTACCTTCAGGCTTTAGGTGACTAATTTTACACTTGTTAGATCTTTTTGAAGAATGTATCCAAGCCCAAATGGTCTGAATTGTTGCTTGGAAGAAGCTTAACCCTTTCTCCTTGTAGTACAATAAGGGTTAGATATCTAAAAGTTGCAGTGTGAATATCCCCTT